TGATTCGTTCACAGCGAAAGATTAGTTCACGGTGAAAGATTAGTTCACAGCGAAATATTAGTTCACAGGGAGTGATTCGTTCACAGCGAAAGATTAGTTCACAGAGAATGATTCGTTCACAGCGAAAAATTAGTTCACGGCGAAAGATTGGTTCACAGAGAATAATTCGTTCACAGCGAAAGATTAGTTCACGGCGAACATTAGGTCACGGTGAAAGAGTCGTTCACAGCGAAAGATTAGTTCACGGCGAAAGATAAGTTCATAGCGAAAGATTAGTTCACAGCCAAAGATTAGTTCGCGGCGAAAGATTAGTTCACAGCGAAATATTATTTCACAGGGAGTGATTCATCTGCAATGAAAGATTAGTTCACAGTGAAAGATTAGTTCATAGAGAGTAATTTGTTCACAGAGAGTAATTTGTTCACAGCGAAAGATTCGTTCACAGGGAGTGATTCGTTCACAGCGAAAGATTAGTTCACGGTGAAAGATTAGTTCACAGCGAAAGATTAGTTCACAGAGTGATTCGTTTGCAGTGAAAGATTAGTTTGCAGAGTAATCCGTTCGTAGTGAAAAATTAGTTCACAGTGAAAGATTAGTTCACAGAGAATAATTTGTTCACAGTGAAAGATTAGTTCACAGAGAGTAATTTGTTCACAGCGAAAGAATCATTCACAAGGAGTGATTCGTTCACAGCGAAAGATTAGTTCACGGTGAAAGATTAGTTCACAGCGAAATATTAGTTCACAGGGAGTGATTCGTTCACAGCGAAAGATTAGTTCACAGAGAATGATTAGGGAAAGATGACTTTACAGGGAGTGATTCATTCATAGCGAAATATTAGTTCACAGTGAAAGATTAGTTCACAGCGAAAGATTAGTTCACAGAGAGTGATTCTTTCACAGTGTAGTTCACAGTGGATTAGTTCACAGCGAAAGATTAGTTCACAGAGAGTGATTCTTTCACAGTGAAAGAGTAGTTCACAGTGAAAGATTAGTTCGGAGAGACTGATTTGTTCACAGTGAGTGAGTAGTTCGCAGAGTGTGATTAGTTTGCAGTGAGTGATTTGTGAGTGATTCGTGAGTTCAATATGAACAAATCTTTCTATGACTTGGGAGTCACGAGTCATGAATCTTTCATATGACTCGTGAGTCACGAGTCATATGAAAGATTCGTTCATTTTGAATGATACATCACTATCCTCCACCCTTTCACCCTCTGCTTATTTACGCTATCCACATCTTCAACAGAGTAACATTCTACACTGCTGTTGTGTGTTAGGTTGTTTTCCTTCGTCTGTGCTCT